TATTTTATTTAAGATAGAAAACAGTAAAAATCAATACGATTCCCAATAAGCCTGTTTCTGAGCTGATACAAAAGTACGTGAAGTCTGTTATGAAGTTTGTTATGAAAGTACATGAAGAACAGTATTATGTATGTGAGCCTTACAAGGAAAGGTTGACTCATGAGGGGTAGACAAAAATGGACATAGTGAAAGATCATATGACTAACCTGGTGTCTCCAGTCAGTGGATAGTACGGTGCTGCCTCTGTGGTACTGGAATTAGAGTATTCTACCTTGGTACAGTAATTTAGACCAGTGAAGAGAGGTTTGCAAGATGTCCGGGACTCTCTGTTCTCAATCAGAGGTGGAATTTCTTCAGTTTTGGTTGGAGAAACCAAATGTAATGTGTTACTGGAAGACAAACGTGGCCCTAGTTATTTTCAAGAAACATACTTTAAAATGAAAAGCCCTATTCATTAAATTTCTTTTCAAATGAAATACTTTTGAAAACAGTCCATAAAAAGCTTTCTGAATTTAGTGAGAAAACAATCAAATTATTTAATAACGATAATAGTTGTAATGATAAGGAATTAACAACATCTCTTTTACATAGATAGTATCACCATTATTTTACAGAAAAGGAAAGGAAAGCTAATATTACTGACATTATGTTATTTGCTGCTTGTATCTATGAGACTGGACTCTCAGCTAGTTCAGAAACTAGTTGGTACTACAAAGGAATTTATTTCAACTTTAAAATGCCAGCAGTTTTCCAGAAAATAAAAAGTAAAATAAAATCCAGAACAGCATTTATTGTTGAAAAACAGAAAGGAAGGAAGAAGGGAGATTGAAATCTTGAACAAGAATATATGTTCTCTCTATATATATCAAATACCTGATACTGAATAGTTTGGTTGGAGTCTTTGGAGCAGGGATGCTGAATTTTAACTGTCCAGCTTTCATGCCAATATGGGCTTCAAATCCAGACTCATGGTAGATAATGGAGTTCATTTGCACACCACTTCTAGCAAACACTGGGATGTTTATTCCCACATGACTAATAAATTCAATTCCCATTGAGGGTTTAGCAATCAGTTCTGCATGCATCTACAGGATGAACACAAGAATTACATATACATTTATTTTCCTAAAGAAGATTTTATACCTTTGTATCTGGTTATAAATACTAGTTCAGATAATGGGATAAGAATACAGAGTCCATGCAGGTGCCTGTATTACAGAGTGTTGGAGCAGACTTGATTAATTGATTAACTGAGTCTGCTGGAGTGTGCTAATTACCATGCTCCAGCCAGCCTCTGCATCTCATGTATAGTTAAAGCATTTCCCCCACCTTTCTGAAGTTCAGGGATGCTGATACAAGAGGCACTCTGGATGCTTTAATTAAAGCTGCTCTAATTAAAGTGCTCCCCCACCACCCGATGCATGCGTAAAAATACCCTGAGATTCTGATCTCATTTTGCAAAATTGCAGAAAAAGAAATCATCCAAAGACAGTACTGTGTTAAATATGATCTCAACACAGACTCTGGAGTCTTATTTTGTTGCCTAAACTAGCTTTATAACCCTTATACAGTTAATGGTTTAACTGCTTTTGAGCCCTTCAGTTCACCTTCACCTCTCTCAGCAGTGCCCCCTTTTTTCCTGCAGCTTTCCCTATCTTTTCATTTACATGACCGTCTTCCTATTCAGTACCCTTGCAATCCAGTCGTAGCAGCTGATGAAGAAGAATGTAGCCTACAAACCTCATGCCTCTCTGAATGTTAGTCTATAAGGTGCAACCCTGCCCTGCCTTCCGCATATCTTCAGACTAACACAGCCACCCTTCTCTACTTGCCCATTTCACTGGTGTGTTCCTAAACAAGACAGTACGCTTGTTGGGAGACTATAATATGAAGATAGTAGTTAAGACGTACATGCTTTTGGTGAATCTTCATCCCAGCTTTGGCTCCAGGGGTCATAATTCCAGATACAGCAACCTGGAGTTGAAATCCTGTTCCAGTTGGTAGCTCAAATTCATTGTCCATAAACATGTAGTGAACAAATAAATCTGCCTCGGTGCCTTTTGAGATGGCTTGCACAATCTGTGAGTCAAACAAGAAAACAAATGCTGGACAATATAGTACTTTGAGGTACACTTGGTAACATTGAAATTAACCACAGAATGTGGTATATATTTTTTAAAGCATCACATCTTCTGTATTAACAATTACTATTCAAAACAAAGGCTAAGATTCACAGACTTATTACTTTACATGGCAGAAGTAAAAAAATTAAGAAAAAATAATGCATCTTTTCATCACCTAAGCCTGAGAAAAAACTAGTGACCCCTAGTGATGATGACCAGCGGTGACAAGTGTAATACTGAAAGAATCTAATTAGACAGACTTGGCAAGATTTGGGCCTTACTGAAGTCAATGACAAAACTCCATGGTCTGAAAATCAACTATAAATATAAAAATAAAATATCAAATATAAAACAGAGTAACAAATACAAAACACAGAGTAACAAATCTCCAAAATCCAGGAGTCTTCAAATGATCGGAACCTTCTCACTCTTCTCTTGATTAGCAATTAGATTTAAACAACTATCACAAAACCATTGGACTGAAAAGGACTCAAAGGATCTTCTAGTCCAATTGCCTGCATACAAACAAAATTATCATAGCTCATCAACCATACCATGCCTATCCAGCCTCTTTTAGGAAACTTCCAGCAAAAGAGAGTGCACAACTTTCCTAGACCACTCTTTCCACTATCTTACTGTTCTTATAGTTAGGAAGATGTTATTGAGATGGAATCGAAATCAATATGCTGTGATCAAGAGGTGGTATTAAATTAGTTCTTTTGACATTATACTTGCAATAGTTTTCTCTGTAGTTTTCTTTTTAAACGACTAATAGTATTTCATTCAAATAGCTATGATTTTTCAAAGCAAGCGCAAATTAAACCATTAAAAATATCTGGTAGAAAAACCTAATTAGAAATATTCATTCAGCACTTCAGAAACATACCTTTTCTGGAATGCTTGGCAGAGTTTTAATGGTCCTTAAAAGCATATTTCCAAGAAGCTTGAAATCATTGAGTTTCATGTACCCTAGTTCTTCTCCGAGTATTTGGAGGTAAGCTCTAGCTTCAGGGAAGTCTTTGTTTCCCATATCTTTTATCAGTTTTTCAAGATTACGTGCTAGTCCAGTCATCAGCTCCTGAATCAAAAAGTAGAATGAAATGAGATCCGTTTGAAAAACTGTGTCAGTCTGTACAGCTAGTACAACTAAGTGATGAACACTCACTAATCTGCACACACGTGCTGATAAAACCCAGGATCTTTGATTTTTTAAAATATGATAAAGCATGAATCTTTACCTAGAATTAGGGTGAGAGCACATGACATGTATTCTGGAGTAACTTGACTTGCTCTGAAGTAAAAGTGGATTGGATGTTGATATAGGTCATACAGGCCACATCTACACAAGATGCTGACTGCACAGTAACCTGAGTTAGCGCGCAGTATCACTGACAAACGGCTTTTTTGTGATGCTGACTGCACAGCAGCTCAAGACGACTGCACAGTAGCACTGCAGCATGGTTTGTGCCATGAAGTGCTACTGCACAGTAGTCTGGAGCTACTGTGCAGTCGGTGTCTCATGCAGAAGCAGCCACTGAGTCACTAAAGGTTTGTTTTTTTTAAATTTCTGTAGATTAACCACAACAGCATAGTGTTTCTGATATGTAAGAAGTGCATACTGCATATGCTTTATTATATATATGTGAAGACTTATATATGCAGACATTAAAGATCAATTAATCTCTAATCAAAGAACAGTCTGAAAGTATACCTGTTCCTGTATGTTTTTCCTGGGGTAACCAAAATAATCAAAGAGCATCTTGGAAACCTGCTCTGGAACTCGGCCATCGATCCAATACAAAGCCTTGCTGGCGCCGTCAGGGAAAAACCCTTGGGGTCCAAACAATGCTTCTAGTGTTGGCTCAAAGTTCTTTCCATCCAAGCCGATCTGAAATAAATAAAGCATTATCATAACTGAGACAGCTTCCTCATTTCTTGAGAGAGCTCTGCAGCACAGACTATCTAGTGACCAGTGTTTCAAGTATACACTGCATGCAGAGAAAGATTTTGAAAAAGTTTTCCTGTGCAGCAAGGCTGAGAAGCAGGCTGCTGCATATCACTTTCAATTAAACACATCCCTGTGGAGATGACTAGCAACACATTGTATGCAGTGTTTTTGTATCTCTTAATTCCTAACACAAGTACTTAGGTATATCTTTAGTAGGTCATAGAACTCTAGCCGGGTTATCACCTAGCAATGCATTTTATTTTTACTTGGTGCATCTACACAAGATGCTTAATGCACCATAGACTAATTCTACGGTGCATTAGCATGTTGTGGCAAAAGCCATTCTAATGTGCTAATGTGCAGGAGAATTAGTCTATTGTGCATTACTTTTCACAAAAAGACCATGCGCTGGTGCTACTGCGCAGTAGTTCCAGTTACTGCACATTTAGTTAGTAGCTCATAATAGAGGAGCTAAACTTAATGCACAGTAACAACAGCGCATTAATACATGTGTAGACAAACCCACTGAGACTTTGCATGGCTCAGTCTAAACCTGTAATGCACCTAGATGTGCTGGTAATGGGTGTCAGCAAAGGAGGTGACTTCACAGAAAGTCCACTGAATCAAAGGAAAGAGTCCAATTGACTTAAGAGGGCTTCAGAACAGGTCCTAAATGTTTCTGAAAAGAAACTACTTCATTGCAAGTTTTGCAAGCAAGCAAGCAGGGCAGAAAGAAAGAAAAGAAAAGTTGCAAAATAGCAAAATAAGGTGGTATACCTCAAAGATATCCATTGGACTAAACCCATACACTTGCAAAGTAGTTTTTAACATGGTTTCTTTAGGAACAACATTGTTTGGCTCAAATAAGAGGTTCCCTTCCACTTTGGCAGAGAAAGAGTTATTTCCTGGCAGAGACACATTTTTGGAAATCTGATAATTCCGTGAGAACTTTTTGAAATCCCTGGCTGTTGGAATCTGGAATCCTTTAAAAGCTTCTTGTAATTTGGTTTTCAGGCTGAAAAAGGACAAGAAATGCATGGAAATATGGTTAATATAATATCAGAAGTATTTCAGTCTTAGACCATTTGGGAATTTTGACTCAGTCATATTGACTGCAATTAGTCAATGCTTTTCCCATGCTTGTGTAGTGTAGTCCGATCCTCAATCACTTTAAACTGTTTGTATTCAAAACACTGGTTCACCTCAGCCAGTGACCTAGCCTTCTGACTTCAGATTTTTTTAAAATAATTTTATTTAAGTTAACCATTATCTTTCAGGGGAAAAATATAAAATCATTGGATATGATCCTGAGAATTGCAGTTAGGTTCAAAATTTAATTCCTAGGTGAGCACGGTTCAATTTAATTTTGCACTTACAATTCAATGCCTATTTCTTCAGAGTCCAAAATGTTGGTAATGTGTGAGGTGACAAAACTTTTCACTTGTTCATTCTTGTCCTTTGAGACAGTTTTCACGATTTGAACAAGATCAGATTGGGAAGGATTTTTCATGATCATGAGATAGGCTGCCAGACGTTTTTCAACTGGAGCATCAGCTTCTTGGAAAATTGTAAGCAGCACTGCATGGTCCTATACCGACAATGAAAAGTTTGTTAGGGTGCTATAATCTGGTCAATAAATGAGATGCCTATCCCTCTCTGAAACATATTGGATCATGCTATTCCTTTAAAGACAGTCAAGCCACTTATTTCTACAACTGATAAAAGTTTTCTCTTTAGCAATTTGTTTCAGTACATAATGTGAAGGTTGTATCTCTGTATTTGTTAAAACTGATTTTATATTTTGTTTGCAGTGACTGAAAAAAGTGGATGAAAATTGAAATATTTTCCTTTTTGATTGCTGAAAACAAGAAAACACCTTCAAGAGTAAATTGGATGCTTATCTTGCGGGGATCCTATGACCCCAGCTGACTTCCTGCCCTTCGGGCGGGTGGCTGGACTCGATGATCTTCTGAGGTCCCTTCCAGCCCTAATGTCTATGAAATCTATGACCTTTTTCCAGTTTTTTTAATCCCCAAAAGCCAAAGACAGTTATGGAAAAGATTCATAGATTCGTAGATTGTGAGGCTGGAAGGGACTTCAGAAGATCATCGAGTCCAGCCCCCTGCACCAAGCAGGAAAGACAACAGGCAATGAAATGACAATGAAACTTTTTTTTTTTCATGGGGGTGGGGGGCGGAGTGGAGGAGGGGAAACATTTTCCAAACAAATTTTTTGATATATGTAATACCTAGTAGTACTAAGTACTCCAACTTTAAAATAGGGCTAACTGAAAGTCTTAATTTCTATTCTACAGGAAATGATGATGTTCTGAAAAAAAACTGTTCCATTTTGAAACTAACCTTGAAATTCAAAGTTGAACTTTCAAAATTTTATGTTGAAGGGAAAATTTTTAAAAAGTTGAAATGATCAAAACATTTTACTTCAAAATTGTTTAAGTATAATTGAACCTAGGAGCACAAACGCTCAGGTCCTCAGTTCAGCCAGCGCACTCTCAATTCCCCAGCAGCGTTTGATTTACCTCATCTGTAAGGGTCATTTTCCGCAAGGCCTGGATGGCTGATTTCTGAACTGAAAGTGTTGCGGCTTCACTTCGGATGCAGGTCCTAACAGCAGACTTCAGACTTGGATGAGCTTCTTCCAGGACATTGCCCATGTTTCCTATAGCCTGTGAGCAATGAAAACAAGGCAATAAACACTTTTTGCTTCACCACCCAGAATGTAGCGCTGCACCCTTTTACTGTTTTAACAGAACAGCTACTGTACACGGGAAGGGAAATGAAATACCCGTAGTGTGAGGTAGGCTAGTTCATTATCTCCAGAGCACTCATTGCCAAGCAGTGATTCCATGAATTTTGCAACATCCTGCACTTCTTCTGTTATAATATTCCTCTCTCTGTAGAATCTATGGAAAGACAGATGGGAATGGGGAACCATCAGACTCTCCTTACTTGGGTGTGTCTAACTGGATTTCTTTTCAGGCAAATGACGTTGGGTCTCAATAACTATAAGACTGCTTGACCCCACCCCCACCTCCCATTCCCCGGAACTATATTTAGCTAGTCCTCACCCATTAACAGTGTGGCTTAAGGCATAAAAAGAAGCTCGACTTCGCAGATACTGGGCCATGTTAAGAATTTCCCGTAGTCTTTGCGGACATGGAGAAGGCACCAATCCAAGGGTGTAGGTAACTATGTCTGCTACAAGAGGATTGACACGGCCACTTCGCAGTATCTGTAGGATGGCACTGTAGCACTCTAGGGTACCGCACTGAGCCAGAGCCTGGATCGTGATAGAACTGAAAGCAAAAGAGAGAGTTTACATTAGCTCCATGTTTGTGAGGATATAACCATGCCACACTTCTTTGAGACTCTTGGCTCCAACTCTAATTTAGTGAAAGTGGACATTTTCTATAATTAAGAGAGGGTTTTACATCTCTGAGGACCAAGTCCTGAAATTAAGATTCAGCTCTGAACTTCTTGTCATCTACAGCCTTACAGATTCTCAAATCAGACACATTGCTGGTAGTGGTCCATGTCAAAATCAGACATGGATTTAAGAGTCTTCTGGTTTCAGAAGGGGACTTATCACTGACCTCTTGGTTCAGGCTTATCCTCAATCCTTTTTGATCCCAACTATACACTTAAAACCTCTAGTCATTCATTCATTTACCTGAAACTATACTTGTGTGCTGTAAATGTGTGTCTGTGAGTGCATTGCAGCATCATATTGCTTACACAATAGCCAGCTATGTGTAACAAAAGGGTTCTTATAACACTGCTATAACCAATTTGCACCCTTCCCATGCCCACAGACAAATCCTTAACCTCCATGATATGATAAGCCAAACTAACACTGCTTCTTCCGAGTCTGTGTAAACTGAATAAAATGCAACCAGGAGGGACACATTGGGACAGAAAAGTTCTGGATCATCCAAAATCATCTGCTCCCTACAAGGAATTATGTAGTAGCAGCAGGTATCAGAGGTCATAATTAGTGTATTTGAGCAAATCTGTTCCTTGTATTGCCCATGTAAGGTTGAACCTATATGTATCTAATCTTCAAAACCTATACATGGGACTATGCATGGTAATGCAGTAATGTGGGGATGGCTGGCATCTACGATTGCTGGTTCACTAATTGTTGCATGGTGTTAATCACATGCCAGTATGAGAGTAGATCAGGACAGGCTGTGGATCTGATCGCACATTTAGCAGAATTGATTGTCTTTTAGAGGCCAGTTCCCCAATTAATATAAGATGATGAACAACGATGGAGAAAATGTAAAATTTAACTTTTTAGTGAAAGGTAAGGATTTAAATAAAAACATAATGCTCTAAACCCTGTTGAAATAGATGATTACCAAGCTGATTTTGTTTTGGGATAATATTTAATAGTGCTTATCCTCCTTCTCTCTCTAGCCTATTCACATGGCCTATCTTTCAAAATGTTCAACATTGCAACATACAAGATTAGGCACTGATTAGGCACTATTTATAGCAGAACATCAGGCTTGGAATTGATTTAACCCCATATTGCCACATGGTGTTTTTGCACAACACAAGAGCACACTGCTGCTTACATACCTGGAAGTTTCCATCATCTTTGGAACAAGAGAACCAAGCGTGTCATTGTGTAAGCTTCTAAGACCGGATACAAATCTGTAAAAAAGCCTTGGTCTCTGCTGGTTGTTCTGGGAAGAGGATAGCTTCTGCAGTTCCTCAAGGGTTTTCAGAACAGAATCTCCAAACTTTGAAGATTTAGCATTCGAATTTTCAAGTGCAAGTCCTCTCTTTTCCAGTGCATCTACAAAGCAGCAAAACATATTACTTCTTTACTTATGGGGTATCTTATTTTCTGACTACTCCTTTCTGTCCATTTATATAATAACATTTCTTTTTCAGTCTTGTATAGCTGCTGATGTGGCTAAACAATTCATTCATTTCCCCCAAACTAGAAACTCACAGTAGAATAAACATCACAGTTATTTCCTGAAATTAGTTATTTCCTGAAAATTTTCGTTTTTCTTTTCTTTTTTTTTTTTTTGACTGTAAGTATTGACCACTTTACATAACCTCCCAAAAGGTTTCAGTCTTCCCAAATTGCTTTTTTGGTGTAGTTTACTTTTCACCCAAAAATATTTGTATCTATGCAGAGCCATGTCGCACCTTCTTCAAAGGTTCTGCTGTTGATCTTTGGGGTGTCTTCGAGCTTCAGTGTCTGTGTGATTTGTGTCATTATTCCATACCGATTTCTAGTAAACAAAGTTAAGATACAGCACTTTAGTTGAGTCTAAATAGTTTAGATGGATCTTGTCTGATTGTAATTGTATTACAATTCATGCAGTTGCCAGGAGAATGAGTCAGAATAGAATTTGACCATTTCTTTTCCATGATTTATCTTTGCAAAGCAAGGATAAAATAAAATAACATGCAGCCTACTTGTACGAGGAAGGCAGGAACAGGTGTTTTTCACTGCACACCACTTCAGACACATGCCGTCTCTTGGTATCGATAGAGTACTGACAGTACTGAGTGCTCTTGATCAGGGTTGACAAGGGACTATCCTGTAAAAATGAATTGGACGATCATTTTTCTTTGTAACATTTCAGTAAAACAAACAGTTGTCATTTGAGAAGTTCAGACATGCTGAAAGCAGCAATGCTGTTTAAATTGTCATTGATGTCGTAGCTTTTTGCTGAATAATTCTGCAAATATCATTCCTGATTATGAAGTCTCTACAGATGCAAAAACCCTACTGAGGCTTTATCTCAGGTGTCAATCTAGTTAGTGAAGTGTTTGCTTGAGGAGGAACTGTAGCAAAGGGGTTCTGATAATAGGTTTTATTGAATCAACTGAATATTATTTTCATTTCAATGAAAAGATGGGGGTTCGATTAGATGACCCCCCCCCCCCGAGGCCCCTTAAAGCCCTATTTTTCCATGACTTACAGTGTTTTTGTTTACAAATGAAAATTGTTTTATCTGGCATTTAGCTTTGGCCATCTCCGCGTCTTTCCCTGACCTGAAGAGGGGCAATTTGTGTCTGGAAGAGTGTCTGACATCTCCCCCAACTATTCAGTTGGCCCACTAAAAGTTAATAACAAAGAATCACTTGCTTTTCATGTATTGCCTGGAGCACCATGGCTACAACAACTCTCCAACCCTACTAGGTACAAATAGATTGATCCTTTACAGCAGGGATGTCAAATATATGGCCAGAACTAGCCTACTGAGTCTCTTTATCTAGTCCCTTGAACTAATGGCTGGCAACCAGAAGTTGGGGAATATGGCTTGCTGCAGAATGCAAGGCCCTTTGACTCTGTTGCCCATGGCCACTGGCAAAAAGTCTGACTCACT